AATTTGTGGCTGAATATGTTGCTGTTGTTGGCTGAGCAGTCGTTGTCAAGGGAGGTGGTGGACCCAGCTGTCAACCAACCTGAGTTGAGGGTCATAAATAATTGTATCATTAATAAGCTAATGACCCTTGAACAGCTTGATTCAGTACAGGTGGATATGAAGCACTAGAAACTGTCTGAAAGAGTCTGAATTTGAAAAAAAGTAACGTTGAATTGACCTATTTCCATTATTATCATTATCCATCAATGCTTGGTTCCTATTCAACATTCGCACAGAAATCTCTCACATGGATATTTGTTTTGCTTGTTATTTTCCAAGTTGGGCTCAAAATATTAACATTCCCTCTACACTTGCTATCTTTTGTCAAAGATAAGAGTGGGAGCAGTTTTTTTGCTCTGACTAGGTGTACTGCTATGCTGTAAACTAGGTTAAACACACTTCCAATAAAATGTGAAATGCAGTAGGGATTTGAAATTTTTAATAATTAGCTAGAAGATTATACATTGTCACTGTTAGCAGTTACCATGCCAAGACAGTATGGCACATAACTTAGCACATAAAGACCACAAATTGTCCTTTTTACAAGTTTTTTTTGTACAGATTAGGTGCTGGTAGGTGGATTTTGTTACATTTGGACAAGCTAGACTAGGAGTTTGCCCCGTTGTCATTCTTTATGCTAAGCTAAGCTAACCCACTTATGGCTCCAGCTTCATATTGAATGTACAGATATGAGAGTGGTATCAGTCTTCTGATCTAACTCTCAGGCAAATTGTTGAAGTATTCCTTTATTTAGCATACAGCTAAGCTAACCCAGCTCATACAAATTTTGAGTTTCTTTACATTTTGGTCAACAGCACCGTCTAAAGACAGCACAGGGCTTGAAACCTATTTTATAATCCACTATTAGATACACATTTAAAAAAACAAGTAATTTATAATCAATTTCAGTCAGTTTCTCTTTGTGCCTGATTTATGGCAGCATCCTAATTAGATGCAATAACATATGAAATCCAGTATTCAGTGTTCCTCCCCCATAATAAGACACTGTTAGCAGTTACTAGGCCAAGAAAGTTCAGCAAATAACTTCCTATAAAGACCACAATGTGTCCTTATTACAAGTTCTTTGTACAGATTAGTTGCTGGTAGGTGGATTTTGTTACATTTGGACAAGCTAGGCTAGCAGTTTAATTATACTACTATAATCAATTTACATATACTATAATCAATTTCTCTTTGTGCCTGATTGATGGCAGCATCCTAATTAGATGCAATAACCAGTATCCAGTATTCAGTCTTCCTCCCCATGATAAGATGCTGTATTATCAGCTGCTGTGACAGTCATCAAAACAATGAGCTGACATTCACCTTCCTTCTGAACCACTAATTGGCTATTAGGCACAACTGGGTTTGACCATAGACACTTCCTTCACATATCCTGTCCGACCTCTAATAGGTCAGCTCACCTCCACACTGTCTTGCTGCTCTGCAAGTGGCCCACATAAGGGGGTCGCTCATGCCGGTCATTATTTAGAACACGAGTAATCGGGGGATGAGCAGAGAAACCTGTCAAACCTCTGCTGTGTTTATGTTTCTCTATGGCTATACTGTATAGCCTGTATAAACTGTTGGTCGGACAAAACAAGCAACATGAAGCATCACTTTTGGGAGACGATACAAATAATTGATTACCCTAAAAAAATCAATATGTAGGCTAACGCTACAGGCATAATGAAATGTTATAGATTGCATGTGGTTGCTGTCAAATCACATTTATATCTAAAGCACTTTAAACAAATCGGTTTTCATTCAGCGCTTCATAGAAAACAAGAGAATATCAAACACAGGCTTGATGATGATTGAGGTACAGTACAGTAGTTTTTCATGGTTGGATTCAGTGAAAGCCCACATCTAAGATGCAGCACCCGAGCACATAGTTCAGGATGAACAGAAGGTAAACTCACAGGTCAGAACATCAGAAGGTTCTTTCATGTCCGTCAGTGCTTAGAAAGAGAGTTAGGTCCACATTGAGGGACATTACTGAGGCCTTGCTGTCACTGCTTCTTAGTACAACCGGCCGTGTTAATCTGGGGCTCTTTTGCGCAACATAAAGCTGGCATTAGTTCTGCTACTATTTCTGTTTCTCTCCATGGACACCAAAAACCATTGCAGCCAGGTTTAATTACAGGCTTATTATCTGAGTGGTCCTTTGAGGTGGAAAGTAGTGGGCTGGGGACAAATAAATGTACCAGCTAATGAGTAAAATTATGAATCACTCATACATTTAACCCATTTGACAATTGAAACATGTATGTCCCACTTTTAAAGATATCTTTTACTAACCTATTGGTAATACTGCCTTTTTTGTCTTCTAGGAAATGACCTACAGCAGAAATATATAAATTAACAAGTACAAGAAGTGTGATACTCTCTGTTTCATTCATTTGCTTTAAAACATGCACTCAGTAAATACAGCTCAACTTTGAGTCATTGACTTGAACACAACAAGTCTAGGTTAAGCTTGATTTCTGCAAAGCTGATGTAATCTCTAATGTCATTTAAAAGGCTTGGCACAATCAATATTCAACAAGTAATCATGCAGGGGGTGAGGTGGAACTGAAACTGCCTCCGAACCAAACTCTCATTATGCACCAATTTTATACTTCAAAAGCTCGTTGTACAGATGGTCAATAATTCATCATTAACAGCGAACGGTGACAGAGCACATCTGAATTTCATACACTTATCAAATGTATATAATGCACATAAATTTTAAAAAGTGCAGACTCATTGCACAATAGGCAGAGTAAAAGTTTGCGTTAAAGGTCAGAGGGTTGGAGCTGGTTTGGTATACACAGTGAGTTGAATGTTAAAAGACTATTTTGGAGCAATAAACCTGTAGAGGTGCATGTATAGTCTACTGAACACCTTACACTGTCCCCTGGCAATATAAGCATTCAAATAACCTGAGCATCAGCATGTGCATACATGTTCGTCTACCATAATCAGATTTTGTTCCTGCATTTTTGAGACACATTTCTACAAAATAGATAGAAAGACAGATTGGATGCTTATGGACATGTAGACTAATCACGATGTTAAAAACACCATTCTACATATCTTTCTTTAATGTGACTGAAATTCTCAAGCCTCTCTTTGCAGCGTGTACCAGCCACTGTTGTGTACAGTACTGTGCTGGGGAGGCAGCGCCACAGCGGGGGAGGCAGGCAGGATAAACAAACTGGTGTAAAAAAGCTCTGGACTGCCTGGAGGCAGCAGCAGAGGGGAGGATGAGGACTAAACTGAACTCCATCTTAAGCAACATCTCCCACCCCCTCTGTGGTGGGCTGAGAGCTAGAGACCATCTCCAGCTTCTGCTTCATCTGCATCACAGGGTGCAAGACAGAGTGCTGTAACTGGGTCTTGTGTAATAACAAACAAATGCTTACTGTATAGCTTTTCCTGCCCAAAAGGCCCCGTGCAGCTTCAACATACAAACAAGGAGCTAAATCAACTGACCAATAAATTAGTCAGGATGTAGGAAATTATTCAAAAACAATTCTAATCACTGAAACATTTGGGGAAATATGCTAATTAATTTTCTTGCCAAGAAACTATGAGAGGATTGATGCAATGCTCATGTAAATATGAAGTTAGAGCCTAGCACTGCCTACAGGCATGTAGAAAGCTCACTTACTAGCATGTAAATTAAGTTTTTGTTTAATATGTACTGTGAAAATAATGAGTTGTGGTTTTACAGGGGTTTATCTGTGGGACTATTTTCTAGCTGGACTTCCTAAGGTCTCCTCTCCTGGCCTGGCAGTGCTGACAAGACTCCACCAGAGCCATTTAAAGGGCTTCACTAGAGTCCTTGGATTTTGAGCTGTTGGCTGGCCAAATTAAACACTTTGAATGTGTCACATTGGGTGCTGGGAACTTAAATATAGTCGACAATAACAAACTAATCAATTCAATTCAATTCAATTTTATTTATATAGCGCCAAATCACAACAACAGTTATCTCAGAGCGTTTTTCATAAAAGGGCAGGTCTAGACAATACTCTATGATGACCCAATAGTTCCCACCAAGAGCAAGCACTAGGCGACAAGGAAAAACTTCCTTTTAAGAGGCAGAAACCTGGAGCAGAACGTGGCTCAGGGTGGGCGGTCATCTGCCTCCACCAGTTGGGGGTTAGAGAGAGAGAAAGAGAGGGAGAGAGAGAGAGGGCAAGAGAGGAACAGAGAGAAAGAGAGAAAGGGATGGAAGGAGAGAGAGAGGGGAGGGAGGCAGCCTACACAATATACACAGAGGTACAGACAGTAAAGGTAATGTTGCTATAGCCTGAATGAAAAATGGTACAGATATTTATAGTAGTGTTAATGATAATAATCATAATGTTAATGACTATAATAACAATAATAACAATAGGACTAGTAACAATAATTGTAGCAGAGGGTGTTGAGCAGGAACACGGGGGCAGCAGGTGACTCGCAACCACAGATCCAGACTCAACTGCTCCAGAGCCAGAAACACCTGCAGGAAGTGATAGGAGGAGAGATAATCATTAGCTACAACACCTGCGTGATCTTACTGTATGTGAAATGGGTATTTTTGCATATGTGTGCTTTGGATTTGTCCATAAGTCAGCTCAAGTGTCATGCCAAAACTGGTTTGAATATTTTGGAAACCGTGGAAAAGCCATGTGTGACTTTCAGCACCATTAAGTGCGATTTGGTCAAATAGCAACTACATAACTTAAAGGGAAAATCGAAATGTTACCTAACTCATTACCATCTTAAAAATGTATTTTCAGTATTTTACATTTGCCTAAAGTCTGCAGGAAATTATAAAAGGTTTGCAAAACAAGCATAAATCCAATTTCACAGAATGAACATTTCATCTAAAGCCAGGTTACTTTAGTTTCACTTCCTCTGACTCTGTTCACTGTGTACGTTGGGCCGCTTCACGAGCTCATCAGCCTTATTAGCTGCACCTGTGGCCTCTCAGCTTCGCGCCTGCTCACTCCACCCTGTATAGGCTACATGCATATGCGTTTAATCAGAAGTCTCTCCCGACTGAAGTAATGGTTCTTATTTTTACATTCATCATGCTTTTAAATTCATAAATATACCATAAGAAAGCCTCCGACCATAAATGAGTGGATGCCTGTGTGGAGCTAAACTTGAGTTAAGTTAGCAGACAACTCCGACCAACTCATAAGAAACTCCACTAACGTTAGCTGAACAAATATCTAACTTGCTGTTTACATTTACAGTCAGACGGTTTATTTACTTCACTGCTACCGCCTCCCTCTGATTATGGATGTTTGACTGCTGAACTTCAACTTGGAAATTGGGATTTTCAGTTCCTGGTGTCTGTGTGCGCATTTGGACCATGACGCCTCTCCCCATGAGACACCACCAGGGACCACTGCTGAACTTCAACAAGCTAAGTAATTGCAGCTTTTGTTACTTATTGTCAGTTGATGTCTTGGCTGTGTTCATTTGAGTTTGTGTGCTGTTATGCAGCTGCTGACACTGCTGGCTTTTTCATTGCTTTTCAGAAAGGCATTTTGTCAATATATTCTAGCTGTTAATTTCTGTTTGGATGCTGCTGCTTCTTGCTATTTGTGCATGTTTGCGTAGCTGTATTAATTATGAACGAGACTTCTTTATTGTGGCTAAGCTCATTGTTCATTGGTGGTTGTTTGGCAGGTGTGTTATGATCCTTTCTTGCAGTTTGTTTACAGAGTGGAATTATGGATACCCATATATGAGTGTTATGGGCACAATTGTCTCTGCATATTTTATTATTATGGTTATCATCACTATTAGTTTGAGGGATTGATCTCTTGCACAGGCTAATATTATACTGTTTATTGGCTTTTAGGATGTAGACATGACTGTTGTCTTGCACACAGCACATTCATAAAAATATTTTCATGTATAATATTGGCTTCCTTTCCAAAATGCTATGTCACACATAGCATATAGACCACATTTTCACCAAACTTCATATTCAGCTTCAATATTCGATTGGTCCATCTTGTTTCACTAGATAAACACATTCCTAGTAATGTGCAGATGTTACATTGGGGAATGATCACAAATTAGTTGGTGTCCAGCCCATAAGTAGTAGCCTAGCTGTCATCAGGCTCTATATGTAACATGATGTTAAATGGAAATTATTATTGTCACTGCCTAATTGATGGCGGGAAGTGATGAAGTCAGAGCCTGAATCAGCCCTAGAAATATAACTAAACTATGTTATATGGCTTGTATTTAAAATGCAACCTTCTTCTTCAAATAATATATTTGTCTGTGCTAGTGATACGGTGTGCTGTTTATGGACAGTCAGATAAAATATGTGCAGATGAAAGTTCTAATGGCATAAGAAATAATGAAAACAAGCATAGATACATTTATTTATTTTTTTTACCGTAGCCCTACTTTAATGGACAGCTACTAATGCACATAAACATATATACACATTCTGTTCTGTATGTTAGTGAAGAAGACATGGCTTTTCATTATCTCAGTTTCTATATGCTATTTTATATATAATCTGTTTTACCCTGGCTGTAAGTAAATAAATAAATAAATATATTAATGAGTTATTCGGTAGGTTTCACTACTAATACTGCTGCTTTAGCATGCTCTGTGAAGTACTTGAATACATATTTTCCTCCTCATGATGGTTAACATTTATACATGTACAATTGTAGGTAGGTAGGAAGGAGTATATTTCAGTACCCATGTGCTCTTTGTTTATTCTATGCTTTGTTGAAGGTTCCTAGCATGTTTACTGCTTCAGTGGCCCAGATGGAATCAGGGAAGTTGTATCTAATGAACAGATCATTATCACACATTAGCTTAAAGAAAATCCGATTTTGACTGGGAGCATGGGAAGATGGATGTGATTACATGGTTGGTCGCCATCATGGTGGTTGTTCCCGTTAGGGTTAGTGCTCCTTAAAAGCCGTTTACTCTTGCATCCCTTAAATGCCAGTCATGTTTAGCTGCAGGTATTCATGTTGGAATCACGGATGTCATGTGACCTCTCATACAGCAGGGGGAAGTGGAAGGCTGATAACAGCATCTACACTACAGCCCACCCATTTCCCCTCTGCTGTCGCTGGAGAGCAGCCAATCAGCTGCTTGATATTAGTATTCCTGTATCCTGCCTTGTGTTATTTTCACCAGCTGCCCACTAAATATCTGAATCGACATGTGCATTTAAATGGTGTCCACTTGAGTTATCTTGAGCCATTATCATCTAGACAGCCGCTTCCACACATTAACTGAACAGAAAGTATCACATTCACAGCATGATCATCCGAATGAGTTATGCCTGATTTTCTGATGATGTGAGGTTGTGAAATGTTAAGGAGTTTAACTTGGCCTGTAATAATAGTACTACAACAAAATTACGAATACCTAAATATTAATTAGATAAAACTGAATGACAGGAAGAAAGCACGGAAGGAAAGATTAAATACATATATGTCCTCTAGCAAAAATTAATGAAGTACTTGCACAGCTACTTTTCCCATTTATCTTTACATCAGAAAGGACTCAGGTAGGTCTGAGTCTGACAAATGGATCAGATAAAAAGATGACATGATTGCATGAGCAGCTTTGTCACTCAAATCTGTAAAATGAATCAGCACGTAGCAGCAATTTTCCAGATCTGCTGAAATTCATTTAGTGATGCTAAATGTTCAGTTACAGTAAAAAAAAAAAACAAAAAAAAAAACAACAACTAGCAGGCTAGGTTCTGTACATTTACACAAGGTTTTATCTTTTGGACTATTTAAAGGGATAAAGCGAAGAGGAAGGTGGTTACTGTTTATTGTTGCGAGCACCCTCACAGCAAAATACAGGCTTTGGAGCACCCTGCAATGTTGTCCTGCGATCATAACCAATAACAGGTGAAATTCCAGTGACTCTTTCAGCAGTCCTCCTACTGAGCACTCTCAAAATTAGAAAAAAAAAAAAAAACATTTGGAAGTTAAAATGGCCTTATATTAGCTGTTGCAGCAGTGAACACCCTGCAGCTCTTAGCATAATGAGGAAAACATCATTAAACATGGCTGCAACTGTTTATGGAGCTGCAGTGTTTTTCAGTCGAACACTCCATATTATTACATGACACAATCAGTACTCAGAAAAAATAACACCGTATGATTAGATATCCTCCAGATGAATTATGCTGATGTAACTGGTAACCTTCTTGACAGCAAAATTGAAAAATTTACCAAAATGTTGCTTATTGTTTTATGATTTACAACTTCTTGTTTAATGTATTCTTGTACTAAACAAGACTGCACAGTAATATCATGCTGGGTTCTGGACAGACAATTAATGTTAAGTCATGTCACATTTCTCTGCAGTCATTTAAAAACAGCAACTCACTGTTTTGTTCACAGGCCACTCTGCCTAAGCATTGTGTTTATATTCTGCTGTGCATAATTTACATCCAGGATGTATTGTGTTGCAGCTTACAGGTTATTTACATGATCAATAATCTTACGATTGTTTTTATTGTTTGCCCGCCCCAATTTTGTAAAGCCCACTTTGCTGGCTTATAATTTGCATTTTTGTCCAGGCAATAAAAAAACAGTTCAAACTCCAAAGACACATAAAATTTACAATAGATAAGAAAAGCAGCAACTTTGCCACATATCGTGTTTGTGTTCAACAGCTAACTTTAACTTTCAAACTAGTGCAGCAATTAATGACATATCATTGATTAAACTGCTGATTGTTTTCTTGATAACTTTTTTTGATTTTCATTTTTAAAAATGGCATTGATATTTTTGATTTTTCAGAATTCATTCATGGTCCTGTAGAAGTGTCTGGTATCAGCATATTGTTTGTTTAATGGGTTGGTAGAATGGTAGAATGGTAGAATGTGGTTGTGTTAGATTTTGTGCTAGTTTGTAGACACTTGACTCCAGCATGACCTGAATTGGCAGTAGATCATTAGCAGGAATTTGTCTTACTGTTTCTGCAAGGTAAAAGCCTTGTAAATCGTGTTTTGAAGATTTTCATGTTTCACCTCCAAATGAAGGCTTGAATGTACGGGTTCAGAAAAAAATGTAACCCCTAGGGTGTTCTGCACTTAAAATGTAGACCATCTAAATAAGCTAAAATTGCATGAAGGCCAAGCTTCCTACAAAGTTGACATTTTGGAGATGCAGCCAGTATCCCTGTATAGTGAAATGACACCCCAAATGGCCTGTTAACTTATAGTGGTAAATACTTTAGACAAAGTATTTCCTATAAATCCAACTGCATGTAAACCAAATGACAGCTCTTTAAAATGTTCTCACATTCCTCTTTACTGCATCAATAAATCCATTGGAGTGAGGAGCACGTTTCTACTCTTCACTCATTAACAGTCAATAGGATGCAGCTGTTAAAATAGATTGTATTGACAGGGATGGTGTGACTTCAATTCCTTATCAAATAATGGAATGGATAAATAAAAACAATGAAATGATGACAGTGATGGGACTCAGTCTGCTGTGAAGTATGTTGTTTTGAATGGATGATTGTTTTAGCTCTAAAGTGATGAAAATGGTGCAGTGAACATGCCAAATCTAGTGTTTTCAGAAGACTTTTGCTGGACTGAAGTGTTTCGGTTTCAAATGGATGACTTTACATTGAAAAACATTTGGCATCTGTTGGTTTCTGCATCTCAAGGTCAGTTCGGAAAAACAAAATGTCCTAATGGCAGGAAAGAGCGTAGGTCCTTGACTCTGTCCTGATATTCTGTTTCAATGCTCAGTGTCAATTGTTTTGTGTCCCCCTCATCAAAGTCTAAATTACAGTACCAATGCCAACATCTGCTACTTCTATAACCCCCACCTTAACATCACTAGTCAGAGACACAACAAACAGCAGTAATGTGTCTCTAAAATGTCAGGAAGGCTCAAATTAAACCTGATCCACTGGGCGTTTAAAGATTGTGTGGAACAGTGTTTAGACTGTATAAAAGAAGTGCACTTAGACACTGTGACGTCACCTATTGGTTTGTGGAATAATGTTTTGAAGCCTCAAGCTTAGCATTTTGGTGTTATGAATTATCAATTTTTAAACCTGCTGTCTCCCCCATCTGACAGTGACTAATTACACAATACTAATTACACACTAACACTGTCGACATGCAGTTTTTTCCCCCATAGGATTTTGTTTGACTGTGGTGGATGGACCTTGGATCCTCTTAAGTGGGCATGGGGCATGGACGAAAATATTATGCATTTTAAAGTTAAATGCGTCAATCTGGTATACTTTGAGCAAAATTAAGAGGCTAGATCAATAAAGAACTTTGTGCTGTAAACAATTAAATTATAAACACATTCAGGGTTTTCCCTAATGTTTCTGGAGAGCTTGGGTACTGTGATTGTGGGAGTTAGGAGTCTTCTCCGAAGAACATGTGATGTTATTT